ATGTCCAACCCTTCCTTTACCATTATTTATTTTCTCTTTGTCTTTCCTTTTATCACTTTGGTTTTTTTTTCTTCCTTCCTTCCTTTCTTCCTTCCGCCATTATTTTTATTCGCAGAATTCATCAGTATCTGGATGATAAATCTTGACTTATCTTGATTGCAGTGAGAACTAATATACGGTGTTGTATCACTGAAGATCTGAATTGGAGATGCTAATCCGAGGAAAGATACAATGTAGCGCTTTCTGCTCAATCCATTGCCATGGCTTCTCAATAACTCAGAAATGTTGAATCGTTTGCTTATCACTCGCCTTTTCCAAACATGATTCATTACCGTTTATCTTTATTACTTAATATAAAAGGTGAATGTGTACGCGTCCGCTAACTTCTCCATCTACGTAGAACTAGAACTATTATATGAATGCACTTGTGAACAGCATGAATATGTCTTTTATCTTTGTCCGTCTACAGCCTGTCTCCTTCACTTTCTTTCGACCATCCTTTTCTTTGCTTTAAATAACACACTTTCTCTTACTCGGATATCTTTTCCTGCCCCTAACAGTTTAAGAGCAAGAAACGTGTGATATATACGCTTCAACACAACAAGGACTGTGATGGAACTTTTCCTTAATTATCAGGTTGCCTCCAGCCCGAATTTTCATTAACACGGACAGAAAAGTAGAGTTTAGATGGGTAGGCGAGCGGGTTTGAAAACGGGTTTTGCGGGCAAGAATTTCGGTTCAAACACCTCGCACCCGCCAATCCTCTCGACGCTGACAAAACATCATCCCAACAGATGGTGCTTGGCAGTTTTCTGTACGGACGCAATCTTCTTTGTTTTTCTAGTTTATTTACTTCTTCACCTCGGTCACCATTCGAAGCCCATTTTTCTTCCTTCCTATTAATCGACATGCGCTCTAACAATGTTTACGGCGCAGTCCGTATTACTTATAAACACAGTTCATATTCTGCAGGCCACACGCCTTTGTTCTATTTACGGCATGGTACTTATTACGTATCATAAACAATGTCAGTATCTTGTCAGTAATACTACTTCTATATTCTGCTCCGATATTTACCTCTCATATCTTGTCAGCAACTGTGCCTTCCTGGATTACGATATTCTACGACGTGAAATGATTGATTTCTGCCTTTCTATAATATATGTATCAATAAAAATCAAAGTAACTCTACAGTATATATATATATATATATATATATATATATATATGTGTGGGGGGAGAGAGAATAAAGACAAAAGGAAAACATATCTTATGAAGGCGAATGACACTTGCCTTGATAAAGTGCCTCTGATGACGAAAAGCGTCGGATAAGATAAGTTTGCCTTTTGCCTTCATGAATGAAGGCAAAAGGCAAACTTATCTTAGCCTTTTGTCTATCTATTGTCCTTTTACAGATATACTCTATCTGAAATTTTTACACACATACAAACACACACACACCACATATATGTATGGTTACCAAAAGTAGCTCACTTGGCACTCGCATTCTTTTCTGATGCCGTTTCGGAGTCGACGGCAGAGCAGAGGGACGGCTCCGTATTCCACCCGTCCCGAGTTCGAGAGTAAGTGGAGGTTGTGAAATATACGGAGTTTAGAACGGCTCATGATGAAACATAATAGACATTCGTTGTCTGTTATATTTAACAATATATTTTTAAATAATGATCGGCTGCCCCAACACACTATCTCTGTCTCTCCCTCCCTTCCCCTCTCTCTCTCTCTCTCTATATATATATATATATATATATATATATATATATATATTTTCTGTAGTTTACTGCTACCAGCAAGCAGAAATATTTCTTCTCCTGATGATGGCCATTTTGGCCGAAACTCGTCGACGAATCTAAATGAAATAATAATAAAAAAAAAACACGAAAGAATGTTAATCTACAGGCGTGTAGTGTGTCTGAAGATTTTAATTTTTAATATTCTTTTATTGTTCAATATATATATATATATATATATATAATAATCGACTCAACCTTCGAGATTCGACGTATGAGGTCAAGCAGATGAGTTTCAGGAAACCGACAGTCCGACACCACCAGCATATATATATATATATATATATATATATATATATATATATATATATATATAAGTAATAGGAAAGAACAATTAGACATATAATCTAAAAGTTCTTTTACTATTTTTGTTTTTATTTTAAAACCAGTGCTTGATACAAAGTAGAGCATAAAATGATTATTTTTTAAAAAAATGTGCCTCCATCGCGAAACAGAAATGACTATATTTTGGAACCGAAACTCAAGTCCTAAAGTTCAAGAATAACTTACGGAGAAATTTCTCCGTAAGTCATTTTTAACATCGCTTTAGAATGAAACCGTGTTATAAATTTTAAGTTTGATTTTGAGATTTAGGTCTTGAGTTTCGATTTCAAAACATAGTCATTTCTGTGTCGAGATGGAAACATAATATAATAATATATATATATATATATATATATATATATATATATATATATATATATATATATATATATATATATATATATATATATATATATATATATATATATATATATATATATATATATATATATAGAGAGAGAGAGAGAGAGAGAGAGAAAAGAAATAGAGAATAAGAAATCCAACAACACCAATAACAACATTTACTTATTAGACATTAAATTACACCGCGTGTCATCCTCTATGGGCTACCTTGGTTTTCACATTTAACCCGCGGAATATTTTTGAACGTTCTTAAATTATAAAGCAAAATGAAAATCTAACGATATTTTTATATCCTCTGTTTACAAATAAATGTTCCAAAAATAAAATCCTTACATTTACTTTGATAATATTCATCAGTGAATGAAACGTGACGGTAAAGAGAAGTTTTCCTTTTTGTCTTTTTTTTATATATATATATATATATATATATATATATATATATATATATATATATATCAAGAGAGAGGGAGAGAGAGACAAGGCACAATAATTCATCGTAGAAAATCACCATTAATTAATGTAATCTCAGTAATCAACTAAGTAATATCAGTTAATATTTTAGCTGCCTTTATAGCTTGAATGTTAGAAGGATGAATTTTATTTTTTAAAATCATTTCCCCCCAAGCAAGGCAATAAAGCCACTAAAACGCGGGCGGAGTGTGATATTATTTTCGTTTCTGCAGTAAAACGGAAGAAAGTTTTGTTAAAACATAAGAAAGTGTTGTGTGCTGAATACATTGAAACGAGAAGGGTTAACACTGTTATGGGACCTTACCCATAATAAGATGATGAAATATTCCTTACGTAATAAATACTGCGCCTCAAGAGGAAACAGAGAGTTCCGTCTGAAGTCTGGAGTTCAGTCTGAAGTCTGGAGTGAAGTCCGTCAAGAGTCTGTCAGTCAGAGCGAGCGAGCGAGCGAGCGAGCGAGTCAGTCAGTCGAGTCAGAGGCAGTCTGAAACAGAGTTGCTTTCAGACAATTACTACTAAACCTGATTGTTCGTACTAACACTTTCTACTTCTCTGTATATATTCCTGTTTGTAATATATCTGTGTTATTCCATATACGTGTTCGAGTTCTTCTTTATTGGTTCTACCTTGGACTATCACCGTGGTACGAGAAACAGGACCATAACAAACACCAAAAACCCGTGAGAAGAAGTGAGGATTTTAATCACACATAAATGACTTGAAATGTATGTCGAGCAGTTTGAATAAAAGAAAAGTGCAAGATGGCAATGATGATTGACATGTGTTCTACGCAACTGAAAATGCAAGCTGTAAAGCGAAAACATCATTTTCGTAAAGAACGACGTTGGAGTTGATTCTCCTGGTCGAAAGTTGACTTCAGACAAGAGAGGGTGGATAAGCCACCCACGCTAACTAAGGAGGTTTAGTGAAAAGTAATCATATGAAAGATTGGCATAAGGGAATTCCTCAAAATTATGTCAATAAATTCTAATGCGCGAAGCGAATTTGCCAGACGAGAGACGAGTAGGAGCAATAGAAGACAGAGACGAGTCGGCAGAGAGTTCGTCCCAGCCACCGGTCGTGATACACCCCACGTGGTTGCCTGCCGAAGAGAAGCCTCCGACTTCATCCTTGTGCCAAACTTTACCAACAACAGTAAACCACATTTTTGCTAGGTCGATGATAGTATCACTTCCGATTTAAATGCGGAGTGGGCTGATAATTAAGTGCATGCGAACTCTGATATCACCAATTATTTTACGAAGGCCTGATATATTCAATTTATTCGAGTGTTATTATTTTTTTCTGTACGTCGTCGCCCTGTTTGGAAGAGCCCAACACGAAGGTAACTGCGACGATTCCATCTTGGCTGCCTTATGATCAAACTTAAATCACAACGTGGGATAAGGTTAGCTCTGGATTGAAGCGGACACTTAAGCGACCAGTCGCGGTGTTGGAGTTTTTGGACGACCGGCTACGCTGGTGCACGATTACAGATTTGCTGAGTGTGAAAGAATATAAGATAAGTAAAAAACATTAAGGAGAGAGAACAATAAAAGGACAGGAATTAAAAAAAAAAGATAAAGGTTGATATTGCATTTAAATTTTTTAAGAAAAAACTTGACTCGAAAGCAAGAAACCGGAAGAGATTTCCACAAGCGAGAAGTGCAAGGAAAGAAACTGTTAGCATAGAACTTACGGTTACATCTAGCCATTTCTATTTAAAAGGATGCGATATTGCTGCCAATCTAGTATTGCGCTTAAATTTATAAATCCACATACCAAAAGAGAGTATTTACCTGAACAACTACCATAAAAGTATTTATGGAAAAGGTACAAAGAAGCTTCATTAGGTCGATGGGAAAATGGCTGAAGCCAAGATACTAGGTCAGGACTAATGACATTCTTTGAAGTTTATGAAGGAACTTTTGAAAAGATATTCAAACTAAAAAATAAAATTTAATATAAAGCAAGTATTACTTCTGATGTAAATTTGTAAAGTATTATAATTCTATATGTTCCCCAAATATTTATATCGACTCTTTCTGTAACTCATCAGTAAGCGAGGACCAAAATCCTACCCTAGAATTCAATTGTTCACTTGAACGAAAAGCTCAAAAAAAGAAAAAGAAAAAAGAAAAAAAATGTACAAAATTGCTCCGGGAACTACAGACCAGACTGCAGGTATTGTATAATCTTTAGATGATGAAGATAAAAACATGGAGATTTTTTTAAACAGTTAAGCGTAAAAAAATTATAGTAACTTAAAATTTATAGTAATTTATCTGAAGATTTAATACATTTTTATTTGAAAACCGTCATTCTTTCTTATTACTTAAAACGTTATATTTACTGGATACACGTCTTTGTGTAGATATCCCTGTTTTTAAACAGTGTAAATTTACGTCTACCGCATGTACAATTTTGACTCTTAATAAATAAGAGGTGCCTTACAGTAGGGTAGGATGCAGGTTCGAGCGCTGATGGATGGCACCTTTTCCTTATTAAAACTCTCAAATGTGCATGCCAGTAGGCGTAAATTTACACTGTTTAAAAACAGGAATGTCTACTCAAAGACCTGCTTTCATTAAATATAACATTCAAAGCAAGGGAAAATATAAAATAATATAACATTATATTCTTTGAGTCAACCTTTAGAGGCATAGAAGGGATCTTGTTTGATAAGTTTCGTCACCCAACATGCACAAGGATCTAAATACTTTGAGACTGATCGGAAGATTTTTATTTAATTTTTTAAGTATTTCACCCCAAGCAAGGTGGAAGTGTCACTAGGACGCAAGGGGTTACAGAGAGTGAGAGCAAGAGTAAAGAGGGGTGTTTGAGGAAAAGGATATAAATTACGGGGATCAGGATCAAGGCATCAGAAGATATCGATTGATATTACATTTGAATATTTGAAGATTATAGCTATCAGGAAAGTAAGTAAGAGGAAGAGAGTTCCCCTGTCGGGAAGTGCGAGAGAAGAAGCTGTTGGAGAAGAAAAGGCGGTTACCTTTAACTATTTCGACAGTGAAAGGGTGGGACCGAGATATTAACCTAGTAGCACGCTTAAATTCATGCAGTTGGAGTACCAGTGATAATAGCTCGTCAGAGCAGTTGCGATTAAAATATTTATAGAAAAGACAGAGGGAAGCCACATCGCGTATGTGAGAAAGTTGAGATGCCAGATCAGGACCTATCACATTGCATATCCGTCTTTGGATTTTGTCCCGAGCCTCGAGATGAACAGTAGGGGGAACAGTCCATATATGGCAACTGTATTCAATGCAAGGACGAATGGTAGATTTGTAGATTTGAAGGATGGGCTCAGGCGAGAAAAAACCTTCTGGCGCGACACAGAGAACCAATTTTCTTTGCGGTAGATGAAGCTATTGATTCAATGTCGTTGTCCCATCTAAGGTCAGTGGGAAACGTGAGGCCATGTAGGCGCTGAGAGACGCTCTCGTGGAGTAGAGCATCAGTGTGGTGAATCCGAGAAGGCCATATGACACCAAACGTTGCAGAGTTAACATTTTATTGTTATATTAAAATAAATACTGTATTATATTCTTGAATATAGTGTAAATCTATTATCATTTTTGACGCCAAAAAATAGCGCGTCATACTGTAAACAGGGAATTTTTTTAAAGAGTTTAAAAATCATGCATTTTCGGTGACTGGATGATCATTTTTTCTGGATGGGTTAAAATTCATGCCCCCCCCCAAAAAAAAAAATCAGTGGTCGCAATATACAGGAAGTCAGTTTATGTTCAACTATATACAGTAGCTAAATGCATACTTGCACTTATTTCTCTGTGTACTGATTTTGTTCGTTTTAGAGTTCCTTTTAGATTATAGCTACTCTCATGAATATTAGGATGAGAGTAACCCTTTGTTTTACTTAACAAACATTCTATAACAGTAATTGTCAGCTCACAGGAATATAGAGAATTTTGGCCTTCTCCGAAGAAGATGGGCTTCTCTGACATTACCAAATTGTGTGCATAAACGTCATAACTGTAAAACGTTTATGATTTTATAAAGAAATTGTGCTTTTATTGGTACCTGCAGTACGAACGAGAGGTAAATTTGGGGAAGGGGAAATCATCTAACGAATTGGTCAGTGATTGATGACTAGCTAAGTTAACCAATAAGACTGGCCAGATTTTCTCTTCCCCTATTTTAGGTCTTGTGCCACATTTTTAATTTTGTGTTTTTACAAAAATAAGTACTCATTGTTTTGTACATGTCACATGTGTTCCAATAAAGCAACCAAATCTTGAACAAACGAAACGATACAGGTCTTGATTCGGCATAATTTAATAATATATAATGCTTAGAGTGAATGGATATTTTGAGGTATTTGTTTAATAAACCCTACCTGTGATATACATATTTTTCATAACATGCTTGGCAACAATGCTGTGAGTTATTCAAAAGAAATATGAATAATTTTAAATTAGTGGTATTTTATGTCAGTCTGTTGACAGCAGTTTTATTTTTATTCGATAAAAGGTGAAAAAAAAAAAAATAATTGATCCGAAGTAGACGAAGATCAGGCAACAGGACGTTGAAGGAAATCGATATTCTTCAATAAAATCTCAGCTCTAAACACCACGCACAGTCTTGTCTGCAGAGCGTCGAGTTCTTTTTCTCTTTCAAATCCAAATCCATTGTAAATTTAATCGCATTCAGTTCCCTGTCCCAGTCTCTTAACCAAAATAGTTCGATAAATCTAACCCTGGTCTGACAATATTCAAAGGGTTCAAATGAATTCGCCAGGAAGCGTACAAACCTAGCAAGACAGAATAAACGCGAGACAGCGATGCGTGCATAAGAAAAGTTCTGTCGGCAGCAGCGGCTTTTTGGCGGCATTCCAGCCGAAGAAGCTTGCAATGAAATCAATAAGAATGTTTCCACTGCAACTGCGGCCACCAGAGTATCAGTAATATTTGCCAGTTTATTCCCATTGTATATCAATGAACCTGCTACTGAAATTGAAGATGTGCAAGTCTTGGTGTCGGGCCAACTCCATGATACGGCCTGACAGTCCCGCGAGATCTACATGGAGCAGGAAACTATTAACGAGCCTACCACGTAGACAGAACAGAAGCTTATAACTTTTACTACAAATAGGTTAATGCGGCGTCCTCTCTTGTTTTCAAACGGCTATGCCCGGGACACCATTGTCAAATGCAAATGATTGAAAGAAGTTGGTCGATGCCGAGCAAGAATTGGTCCTAATTTTCTGTGAGGATGTCAAGAGTCACGCGCAGGTAGTAAGTACTACAACAACTATATTATCAAAGAAAAAAAAAATGAGGAGAGAACGAGAAGCCGTTGCATGCAAACGCGGACGATTTTTGGTTTACAGAAAAGCAGTTAGCGGCGCCAGGGAAAAGGAAGAATTTGACGTGGTCGTGCATATTCGAGAATACCCTACATGGTCATATGCGTCATGTTTACAGAAGAGCCGAGACAGCAATCTGGGACATAATGTGAATGTGTAGCAATACGAAAGAATATTGGAAGAGCAGAATAATATCGAAATATGACTGCCTTGTCTGATGGAAGGCTGTTGAAGGACCGCCGGCTGTGTTTATCATCAGTCCCCGCTTTCTCTCAGCCAAGGGAGAAAATAATAGATTCAAAATTATATCCCGCGTGTAATCTATTGGAAATGGACTTTATATGCGTGTCATTTAAAAGTCAGCGAACAAAGACTCAGAAGAATTGTATAGCTGAAATTTGCTATTAAAAAATGTAGATGCAATAGCAGGCCGTATTGATGGAGTTGCGCTCTTGCCCAGAGGATAAAGTAGAAAATGTTAAGTCATAAAGACCGGCATTTTTAATATAAATTTGCTGGTATATTAGGCTGTTTCGCCGGCGTTAGGTCAGAGTGTTGCTGGAAGCAGTTTGGCCCTTCCCACCTTTCATGTTTATCCAACAATGAAAGAATTCGAAGACTTGTCTTAATCGTCCTTTCTGGTAGCTTCGAGATAAAAAAAAAATCCGAGCAAATCCTGAGTGCATGTGGATCAATCTGTTAATTTCTCTCCGTGCTTCGGAAGTGTGAGGAGACATTTCGATGCCGAGGTGAGAAATACCGCAATAAATATGAACCAAAAATTTGCTGCAAGGGGGGAGGAGCTTTCTCTCAGGTTAAGACGATCCTCTCGTCACGTTGGGGGATGATCAATCAAAACGTAAAAGAAACGAACCAAGAGATGATGCCGGGCGTGCGCTCCTCAAACGAAAGCGGCGCTTGTCACTCCTCAATTTTAAAATTGAATATACATTTATTTGGTACTTTACATTAAATTTTATCTATCTATCTATCTATCTATCTATCTATCTATCTATCTATCTCATTAATACAAATATACAATTTGTCACTTAGCTGATTGATATTATATTCAGTACCCCGACACCAGAGATTCATCGACAAAGTTTTTTGTAAACGTACGGTCCACTCGTCAAGGGGTTTCAGTAGTTATATATATATATATATATATATATATATATAGAGAGAGAGAGAGAGAGAGAGAGAGAGAGAGAGAGATAGATAGATAGATAGATAGATATGTTAGTTATGTCCGCTGTTGAATAATGAAAAGGTATTTATTTTACACGATAAACTGTTTTTTTTAATATCATCTTTTTTGTCAACGCACTTAATTCCCTTGTGAAGACTATTAAATTAGAACACTAGTCATTGGAACATTCTCATTATAAGTTAGTTAATTACTAAATGTCAGACTTATCACACACACACACACACACACACACACACACACACACACACACACACACACATACATACACACACACACACATATATATATATACATATATATTTATAAATAATGTAGCACAAATGTTTGTTGTCACCCTCTGGACTTTATAATTAGTAGGTTTAATAATTATTTTTGGTTTTCCTACTATTTAACAAAATAGCGTCCAATGTTTTTAGAGGTGGTGGGTAACGGAATTTTTTAAACTGCTAGGCCTAAGATTACTATTAATCAGCAATGGAGATTAGGCAGAAAAAGCTCAAATCTTAAGGAAATATTATGGAGTATTGGGTTAATTTTGTTATTAATACTATTATGAATATTATTGAATATATGATAGAACCATTCAAGAAAAGAGAATCCCTCTGGCCGGAATAGAAGATAATAAATATAAACCGGTGTTAACCCAAAACAAAAATACTATAGAAATAATAATAGGAAAGAACAGACAGATTTATAATACGAACTTCTTTAGTATTTTTGTTTTATTTAAAAAACAAAACAAAACAGTGCTCAATATAAAGTAGAGTATAGAGCATAATATTATAATTATTTTGTAAAAAAGCATGTCTCCATCGCGACACAGAAATTACTACGTTTCGAAACCGAAACTCAAGTCCTAAAATTCAATTTCAAAATTAAACTTAAAATTTAGAGAACGATTTCATTTTCAAGCGATGTTAAGAATAACATTTTTTTCACTCTTCCGTCAAGTTCATCCTGGCGGTGGCTTCAAACTGTAATCTATCTATCTATCTATCTATCTATCTATCTATCTATTCTTAATCCGAAACGTAAACAAAGCAATTTCTAAAGAATTAAAGTATTTATTTTTAATCTGATATATTTATTACTTCAAATGTTATTTTATGTGGATGCCAATGTCTGAAATAGAATAACTATTTTCATTTATTTTAAACTGCGTGTAATACGTTTACCGGCATTCACACTTGAGTACACATTATCATTGTTAGAATGTTTTAATTGCACAGGCCAGTAGTTAAAAAATGGGATGTCTATTTAATCTATCTAATGTGTGTATTCTTACTGTTACAGTGCATTTCTTGCCTTATTCAATTGTTATATTCGCGCATTACAATAAAAACAATTTATGAATATGAAAGGATTATGATGAAAATATGCAGACATGAAAGACCATTTGTTGTCTAAATACACACACACACAAATATATATATATATATATATTAACTGATTTAAAATATGTTTTTTTCGCTACACAGTAATAACCATGTTACAAAAATGGAAGCTAAAAACTTTAAATTTAATTATATAATTAAATTAAAAGCGTTAATTCCGTTTCATCTTCAAGCAAATATTCGAATAACTTATTTTTAAATTTAATGAGTTTTAAACGGACACTTAAATGTATAATTTCCTGTTTCCAAGGATACAGAGAAATCCAATCATTCAGACAGGGGCTATGGCGTGTTCATTTTTATTAACTATTGTTGTATCAATTATGAGTTATGTTCGTAAAAGAGGTTAAGTTTTGGGAGAATAGCGGTGTATTTTTCAACGAATTCTGACATCCCTTAAATGCATGTCGTCTGTTTTTTGTTTTCTTTTTTATTAACGGGAAAAAGTTTTTCAGCATTTTTTTCGTCCTTGTATACTTAAAGATTCTTTCTTGGGGTGTTTGAGTTAGAATATGTTATATTTAAGTACAATTTTGAAATATTTTTTACTCTTAATTACTAATAGATTATATTTCTTTTTAAAACAAGTAAATGTAATAGAATTACTTAAATTATTTAAATTATCTGTCTATATAACATACCTTAAATATATATTTTTATACATATATGTGGTTGATTGATGCTACCTTCAACATCCCATGTTTAGAGTTTGATCGACGGACTCTCAAGCAGTCACCCCGTACACTCGTCAGTGGCTATCAAAAATTTAATTTTTATTTATTTTGAGTATGTTTTCATTGTGTTTAGCTATTATTTTCTCCATGTTATCCACACAGATGTAACTAATTTTGATTTTCTTTTTTTGATTGGTAATTTTTTTATAATTTGCTGTTTTTAAGGGTAATATTTTTCAGTTAGTTTGAATAATATTCTTATTAATATGTTTATTTTTAGATTATATTGTTGTAAGGGAGGGAATGTACCAAATTATGTTTCGTTTACTGTTGTTTTTGTTTGTAATGCTTTTGTTTTTATATTCTAGATTGTTTGAATATTCATAGTTTCTTATGGCTGATTCCTATGTTTTTTGTTTTCATTGAGTATTTTTAAGTTGCTAGAATTTGTTGAAAGTCTTTATTTATAGATATGAAAATTTGTTTGAATTCTGTAGTTAGTGTTTGGAATTTAAAAAAAATATATATTATTATTTTTGCATAGTTTGTATGTTCCGTTGCTTAAGTTGAAGTTTATATCTAAGAAATTTACTATTTTTTCATTGGATTTTATATCGATTGTGAAACCTACGATTTTTAAGGTTTTTATTATTTCTTTTCTTATTTTTTCTGTAGTTCTGCCGTCACAATTTCTTAGTATTAATAAATTCATCGTCTCTGTATAGAACTATAACATGTTTTCTAATTATATTTGCTAATTTGTTGATTATGTAAATAACTATATACACCATCGTAGCCACCCATTGTTAAGTCAAAATGATCATTTGGGCAATTTTTGTACATATTTTTTTTTTGTAGTATAATGTTGATTTTCTACTATGTTTCATTGGCGATAGTTATATATCGTTTTGCTAAATTTATTTAACATGTTCACTTTGATAGGTGAGTAAAAACGTATTTTATATCAAATATCAATAAAGAACAGTTTTCGTTATTGTTAATGTTATTAAATCAATTTATTGTTGCTTTAGTGTTTTTTTCATTGGTTATGTTTAATATTTTCGAGAGAGAGAGAGAGAGAGAGAGAGAGAGAGACAGGAGGAGACAGACAGACAGCTAGACAGAGACAGAAGGAGAAAGAGTTCTAATCTTGTAAAATAGAGGAATCCAAGAAATAGTACGGAAAAAAATATGTTGTGCCACTACCCCACGTAGTCGGTTTGCATCAAAAAAATATTTCAAACAATGTAGGTTTTTTTTTGTATTTTATTGAACATTGATCACAGTGGAGTAGACTTGGTTCCATAACTACTTTTCGAACCAGTGACGTGACGACGGCATCGCTGGACAGACGGCTGAAATCAATGATCAGGAGAAAGGGCTCTCCCGATGGAACCAACAGCTAGATGTCCTGTGATCGAGTCAAGTCTTCAAGTTAGTGGATATTACTGAGGTTGTACCTAGATAAGGATGAGCACCCGGACACGCTAAGCATGAATGGAAAGCACACCTGATAGACAAAAGTAAGTGGTCAGGTGCTCAGCTTCTCAGTGAGCCTACGACCACACCTAGTGATCGTACTGATGATGACGATGATGATGAAGCATTTTGTGTGGTATCGTTTACCAGTGTTTGAGTGGACAATAGCCAATCAAAAGCATCGTTTTACCAGTGAGAACAGAAAAACTTAGATCTTGAATTTCAGTATAAATTAAATATGTAATCTATGTTATAATTCTGATTGTAGTTAGATAGTTAGTTACGTTGTTTGCACGACCGTTATGCCCTGCCAATACCTAAACATAATGGACTGTTCCGTTTTGACCACGTGAAAACACGGAGCTGACATATCAGAAACGCTACTTAGTTTCCCTGAGTTACACAAAGAAAGAAAGAAAGACAGAAAGAAAGAAAGAAAGAGGAGGGTTTGGGTTTGTTTGTTTGTTTTGCGACATATCAACTCCTTATGGGTCATTTAATGCCGAAATTTAATTTTCTTTAGAGCATTAGTAATTTCTTTTACACAAAAATATATTGCTGGTATTTTTTTTTTCAAAAAGTGTCTTGCTGGGATTTTTCTTATTTTAAAAATGTATTGCTGGGATTTTTACTATAAAATTGAATTTTTATACTTTCCTTGTATTTTGAAGCAAGTTTGGGAGTTATTTGCCCATAGTTGGGACCCTAACAGGTGCTACCACCCTAAGAAGAGAAGAAAGAAGCGTTTAACGTTTGTTTTAGTGAAATGGAAACCTTGTCAATTTCAAATCTTTTCATTTGCACACCCATAATTATGTATAAATTTAGTAGTAAAAACGTTTGCAAGAAAAGTTTTCGGTTCGTAATATAATAATACATAAATCTAAAATTTGATAAATTCATGAAACTTTTGAACATCGCTAGTGATGCTTTCATTTTCGCTACTTCGATTACATCAATAATAACCTTTAAGTGACACGAAATGAACATAGTTAAATAGTGTTAACGTTTTGCAATGAAAATGAACCTGGATTGAAAATTTTATTTTATTTTTTAGGAAAAAAAAAATAGTAAACGCTCTTTTCGTGAGTCACCTCAGGCTTGAATAAATACTCAGTACATTTTCGGTTAATTTTTCGTTTTTTTTTTTAGGTTAAAATTGATCTAAACGACACGTCATAAAAAATACTTACATTTGAACATCGAGATGAACAATCATTATAGTTTTCTTTACGCGATGACGACTCAAATGAGATCAGGAGCTTTTACAGCAGTCCTGTCTTAAAGAAGAGTCTAAGTAGAAGTCTTTAGGAGGCTGGGTGTACATGCTTGGAATTATTCATAGAAAAGTTTCACGTACCCACGCCTCTGCTATAAGAAGCCAAAAGAAGAAAAAATATATTCAAGCCGTAGTAATATTAAACAAAACAAAAAAAAAAAACCCTTTAAAATATAGAGAGAAACTGGCAGGGTTTTTTCGTTCATTCACAGCATTTTGACACGAGTCATTCCTTTTGGATATTTTAGCATCTTTTCTTGATTTACCTATCTAATAGGGGCTGGATCAGATGTTGAAGGTGTGCAATATTAAGATGTCCATTGGGTGGTGAAATCTATGAAGTCCGACATTTCTACATACATACATACATACATACATACATTATCTATCTATCTATCTATCTATCTATCTATCTATCTATCTATCTATCTAATTTACTCCTCTATCTATCTATCTATCTATCTATCTATCTATCTATCTATCTATCTATCTATCTATCTATCTAATTCACTCCTCTATCTATCTATCTATCTATCTATCTATCTATCTATCTATCTATCTATCTATCTATCTATCTATCTATCTATCTAATTCACTCTTCTATCTATCTATCTATCTATCTATCTATCTATCTATCTATCTATTTTAGATTATTCATATATATCTATTAAGATATCCATTGGGAGGTGAAATCTATGAAGCAGGACGTTTCTACATAAATACGTATCTATCTATCTATCTATCTATCTATCTATCTATCTATCTATCTATCTATCTATCTATCTATCTAATTCACTCTTCTATCTATCTATCTATCTATCTATTTTAGATTATTCATATATATCTATTAAGATATCCATTGGGAGGTGAAATCTATGAAGCAGGACGTTTCTACATAAATACGTATCTATCTATCTATCTATCTATCTATCTATCTATCTATCTATCTATCTATCTATCTTAGTTTATTCGTATCTATTGTTTAACATTTGCAATATTAATAAGCGAAAGTGATTAATATCGGAACTGAGCTTTTATAGATGGAGAGGATAAGGCGACAGGAATCAACACTGCACAGTGACTATCGGTTTCACGCTCAAAACAATCTCCTGAATATCGCATGGAGCCGTGAAAGTGATAGTCACCAATCAGTGTGGACTGCTATGTCCATACTGTATGTATGTATGTATGTATGTA